AGATCTGTCTGTTCACCTCTCCTTCACAAAGGATTTTGGTTCAAACAGCTTTCCACTGGTTTGCTCAATGGTCAGAAAACCTCAGTAATGCAGCCAAGTCCTTGCATTTTAAATCCTTCCTTGAAATAAGTCCCTTCACCTTTATCTGGAAGCCACTTAGAAGCTTAAAAGGTTGCAATAGTATTAACTAAAGTCTCAATATCCTTAAATTAGAGAGCATGCAGAAAACCAGACACGAGTTTTATTTAGAAAAAGAACAAAACAAAAAACTCTGTAGATTGTTACCAAAAGAAAGCCATTTCAAGACACTATTGCAACCAGAACAGGGGCCCTATCTGTAGTTTACTATACTGCACGTAAGTACAATACATGTTTTCACTTCAGGTCAGTACTACGAGCTAAAGAAAATTACTCTTTATCCCAGTATCATTCTCCAACGGAAAAAAAGAAGAGTAAACAGACCTGTCCCATAATTTAGAAGTGAAGAGATGCACGTCACTATAGACAAATAGTTACTCAAGATCATTTTCTGGTAAAGGCATGACAACACAAGGAACTGTATTCCCCAAATAAGGGATTTGCATCACTATTTCAGCATGGAAGTGCAGCTATTACTTGCTGAGTTGGGGGGTTGCTTTTTGGTTGTTTATATTCTTTTTAATCATGCAGCTACAAAATAATACAGTAACCTGCTAAAGAAACATCGTACAAGAAACTTGTAACAAAAAGCAACAAAGGTTCAAAGTCAAAGGGCATAAAAGGTCTGTGCCAAGAGGACACATCTTTCCCCGAGCGCAGATTTGTGGACATACACAAATGAGCAATCCTCTGCTACGGGTGGCTTTGCTGCTCAGCACATACTGCTCAACTGGTGGCAAACAAGCAGCTCAATAGAGCAAACATTAACTACAAAGCTTAATGATATTGGACTTTAACTGCACTATAAACTCCACACCATTTCAAAGGTTAAATAGTTGGTTTCTCGATGACTCTTGTAATTTAAAATATTGTCCCAAGAACATCCACAGCATCAATTACATATTACAAGAGGAAATAGAGTTATTTCCAGCCTTTATGCCTGATTTTGTTTTGGGATATTAGCGTATCAACGGAGAGAAAGATGCTGAAGTCACAGCTATACAGAAGTGTAATTCAGGGCTGGCGCTTTGATGGTCAGAGTGCGGACACCAAGGAGAGGCTTCCGCTTCCTGAAGGCTCTTCCAAGAGCTAGGTACCCCATTCAACATTAACAGTTAAGCTGATGACAAGGTTACCAACAAAATTCACGTGCAGGAACTCACCAGAAAGCTGTTCCAGCTGTAAATTAAGAGAGTTTGGAGAGCTCTTCAGAATTACGAGCATTTTACGTGGGAAAGTGGAAGGTATTAGAAGGAATTTACAATTAAAACCTCTAATATTTAAAAAGGCAGCATGCTATAAACATGCCTACTGATCAGCAAGAATGCCTGGTATCCAGGATAAGACCACCTGCTTAAACCAAAGTGACTCTTACTGTAGAAAAGGAAGGTTAAATGAGATGAAAGCTAGAGATTCTCTCATTTCAGAATGTTATTCAAATTCATGCAAATAGTAGAAATAAATAAGACTTCAAAAGCTCCCAGAGCACTATCTAGTCCTTCTCCCCTTCTTGACTGGGAGGTGGAAGGAGCAAATTATGACATCTGCTCACATGCCCCATCTACCTTTTTATTTTGCTCAAATTATTTTCTCTCAACATAAAAAAAAAAACACCCTCCTACTTAATAGAAATTGTACGAAGCATACTATTAAAAGAGAAAGAAGAGGAAGAGGTACTTCTGTCTTCAAAGATTTCATAATCTGAATAATCCTAAATGTTCACTCTGATGGTGATAAGAGAACAAAAATGTTTCTTACATATTTTAAGGTGTTAAAGCATGATTTTACTTCACATGAGTACTCTGGCAAATTGGACATTACAAATATTCTCACTAGTTCTTTTAGCTGTCCAAACCACTCTATTCTTTCATACACTTCTATCATATATATATATATATATACACACACACAATATTATATAAATGTGTGTCAGACACACATACACACACATCTCACGCCAGTAAAACGGATTTTGTTCTACCCCTCTTTAGACCAAACACTAAATGATGAGTTTTCCTTAAGTGAAGCTAAAAAGTATAAAGAAATAAGGATTTTTTTGGAAGCAGTGAGGAGGAAAATGTAAATTCTATACTACAAAAACGTCAGTTTTTCCTCAGTTAACTCCTCCTTGATATCACACCATCTAAAATTAATGAAACGATTTTAGAATGCTAATTTGCTTTCATTACTCTGTCCTACTTTGCATTCTTCATATAACTCACCTGAAACAACAGAGTGCACTTCACTTATGCCCCTTTCCCTTTAACAGGTGCTCTTAGGAAAGCGCAGTGCAAGAGAAGTTTGGAAGCATGATCTGAACGCCAAGGTCCTGCAGTTTTGCCAAAGTCTGCATTACATTTTTGTAAGTGCGTAACTATGCTTGCTTTTATATATACATAAGCAAGATAATCAGTATCCTTCAGCATTTGTTAGCTTTCTTTTTTTTTATGGGCGCTTTAACAAGTAGTTAACAAGTAACAAATGTTCATAGTACTTTTTTATGTCTGTAGGAACACAGGTATCTGCCAGAAAAAATGGACATTGGGTGCAATTAAAAAATAAAAAATATTTATTTATATTAATTGTTTATTATTATTGGAGTTAAATGGCCTTAGGAAGTAAACAGTGTTAAAGGAAAACAAAATGCAGGCAAATTTTCAAGTTAACTGTGGTCTACTTGCAACTAGCTAGCTTTATATGAACCCTTCCCACGTTAACAGCTTTACATTCTAGTTTCTATCGTATTAGGAGGAATGAAACCCCTAATGCTGACAACAGCGCGAATCAACAGAGTCAGGTTTGATTGGAGACAAGGATATAACCTATGGAGAATTATCCAACCATCTCTGCTGCCATGGCTGTTGCCATTTTTACCATCCAGGATCAATAGATAAGCACGAGCATACAGACCTTCCTCCTTAAATTCTTGCTACAGGCCCAGCATGAGAACTGAGATTGTTCAGCAAACAAGAATGATTACTTTTATATATGACAGGTACATGAAAACTGCTTAATTTTTAAAGTAAACTAAAAAGAGTTAATAGACAGCAGAAGAAAAAACCCACATCTTAAACCTCACCGTTTAAAAGATGCAATTTGAAGGTCAAAGGCATACGGGAGCATTCCCCTATCCAAGCATTAATCAAATTGTAACCATTTCCGTCAGATTACCTCTTGTGCATAATTCATACCTAACTGTTATCACGTTTCAAACTACCCAGGGCCGATTAAAATATATATAGAGACAGACAGAGAGAGAGGTAACCACTTTAAAACACAGGCGAAGCTCTCTAATAAAACTGCTGTTGACTAGACTGGCGAGAGACCACTGCGTTCGGAAACATGAAGAGATGTCCTACTTTAAGCTTTGAGTTGCAGGAATTGCTATAATCAAGCCTCACTGTCACAACACAAACATAACCTTTGAGGTTGCTGGGGGATAAAAAAACATTTTTATAGCTTCTGTCTGCCTCTAGCTATGTTAGGAGAGAAACAGACGTACACTTTTTTTTCATATTATATACAATAAATAGTTTTCTAGGGAAGGACAAAAAAATCCACGATTGAGTGAAGTCAATATTACTGATCAATGAGCACCTCCAAACAAGTCTCCTTTTGACATGGCCCCAGGCAACAACAAGCCCTGGCCATCAGCAAGGTAGTTATCCAAGGCTCAATATGAGAATTCAGACATAGCCAGTAGCAGACATTTAGAAGCATCTCTAGGGCAAAGAATGAACTTATAGAGTGCACGGGGTGAAGATAGAACTATATACAGACTTTTTTTTCCGCCCCCCCAGCTTTAATCTGATATGCATAGATGCACACCCACAAAACTATTCCCTTTTGGAGTGATCTTGGAAATGGGCTCCATAGGGGATAAAGACATTCTCGAAGGCTGCCATATTTCAAATCCCTCAGGGCTGATGACCAAGATCTGTTCCAGGCAAGGAGTGCCCATTATTCCCTCAAACTACAACTTACAGTTAATCAAAAACTGTCAGAATATTAACCTCACCTCAACAGGCATGTTTCATACAAAAAAAAGCCAGAATCAAATACTGCCCAGACATATTTTTAACTGCAACCCTTTCAAATTCCCCTTTCCTTGTCACTAGGCAATAAGTGACATATGAGCAGCAGACTTTTATTAGCCCCCTGTTCCTCCTCTACCTCCCCACCCAGTTCTTTGGGACATCTCTTCTTCTACCTAGCAAAAAAGTTGCACATGAGGCAGCACCTTAACTGTCAGCAGCAAATAGTTTCCAGTCAATTTTGCAGGTAACAAGCCTCTGCCAGGAAGTAATTTGTCTTTCCTATTGAAAACGTAACAAGCAATATCGGAAGAACAGGGCAACATGAATTACTAGGAGAAATTGTTCACCAATGAAAAAAATCCGCTGTGTCTATGACAAAGGTCAGATAATACTGCTTGGGTTCGGCCATAATTCCTCCTTATATGAGGTTCATGTTAACATTTTGTGTAACAGCAAAGAAAGAGAGTGCAGGTGCAGGCACTCCTCAGCCACGTCCTCCACAAGCTAGCTGATTAATATCTTTATCAGCCTTTGCTCATATAAAACCAAGCAGACTAATACACTCTAAAAGACAATAATAATTAAAAAAGAAAAAAAAATGCTTGCTCAAATCAAGAGGTCAAATATGTCTCCACAGACAAGGTAACAGTCTCCCGAGTAGTAAAATGTGGAGAAACGTCTAATGACAAGGCGGATGCAGAAAAACCTCTTGACTGAAATGCAGACATCCACTCTGAACAAAGAAAATACCCAGAACAATTGCAAATACATGGCTGGAAAAAAAAAAAAAAAAAAAAAGAATCTTCTATCTCTCCCTTTATAGGATAGGTTAAATGTTGGTAAGTACCCAGGAAGATTCCTGCTTATCTATTTACACAAAAGCACAAATCTGTAAAAGCATAAATATAGGCTTATCTGAAAGGTCAGCTACAAAATACCAGTATTTTCATCATTTTTATCTGCTAGTAATTTAATACAAGGTGCCTTTAGACTCAAAAGGTAAAGGAAGTTGCTTCATCAAATAATTCTGATGGCCCACAAGAAATGCAGTCTCCAGATGACTTATTATGTGTTTTATGTCCTATATAAAAAGCACAACATTCTTACCTCACTCAAAGCCCACCAATCAACCACATACAACATTTACATAAATACTTGTACACAAGTGTTTGTCTTTGCTTAGGGCAGGCCCAGGCCAAAAATAGCATTTAGTGTAAGTTACCTCTCAGCCATACAAAGGATGGTCCCTGCAGGTCAAGACTTAGGTTATTCATAGGGCAAAATAAGGAAGCTGCAAATGCACTACAGCATTAAGCAACCTACGCTATAAGTGACATTTAAGATGTGAAGTTTCCGTTTCCAGGATGGACAACAATACCAGCAGCAGTCCAAACTTTAAAGTAATTACCACAATAAGAAGTGTCATTTTAGTACCTCAGTTCTTTTCAAGATCACATAATAATGGAGTTTTTCATACAAGATACTGTAATTTATTTGAAATTGACTCCTTAGCAGCATTTCAAAGGTACATTTGTGCTTTGGCCTACAGAGTGCATTAACAAATTCTGGTTACTAGGTCACCAAACCCAGGTCAGTTTTACACTTCGGTAGTCTGAACACTCTCTATCAATCAGAAATAAGAGTAGCGAGATGCGATTTAGTTCTTGTTTGTATCAGTGTTGTCTCACCAACAGTCTTACAGAAACAGTTTAAAAGTTAACTTCATTACCTTACTGACAAGCAACTTAGCTTGCCAACCTACCTATTAAAAAGAAAAAAAAAATCTCTGCCAGGAATTAAGATCAAAAAATGAACTTCTTCAAAAACGAATTTCGTATGTGAACTTGGAAATGCTAATTGCCAAACAAAAGGGATCTTATGAGAACATATTTATGACATCAGATCCCCTCACTTCTGAATCAGAGGCAAAGCTCAGGGCACATCTTTTCCAAGAAACTGTCAGAATTCTTGGGATTACTTGGTTCTTCTGAAGAAACACAGTAAATAAGCGAGGGGTACAAAATTGTTCTGAATAGCTGGCAGCCAAATACCACCTAAATTCAGATACCAACTGTTTGATGAGCACACTACCATAGTAATTTGGCTTTTCTGAAAGCCTTATCCACTGTCACCATAAATACAAAGTTGTAAACTTGCAGCAATAAATCCAGGCAATAGTCCACCTAGTACAGATTTTGTAAAGACTGGCAGGGGACAGCCCTGAGTAACAGTATCTTTCATGAAACAACACAAGGTTATTTTAATTAATCCTACCTGAAAGATCATGATGAATAAGATCAGCAAAGTTGGGGTCATCACCCCACCAGAATATCCACAGCTCCCTGCGCCCAGGCCTCTGGTCTCGCCGCCAAACACCAAGCACATCGGCCTTCAGACAGCGGCTGAAGCTGCTCAAAATTGGGTCCTCTTCCGTGACCGGAAAGAGAATCGGGGCAGACGTTGGACCCTGCCATACGTATCGCTTCCATTTAATCCCGGTTAGATCAGCCTAAGGGGAGGAAAACAACAGATATCAGACATTTGGCGGAGGGAACACAGAAAAAAAAACAAAATTCAGAAGTAGTTCCAAGCATCTCCAAAGGGAGCTGGAAAAGGCCAGCTTTTTGTCTTCCATTCCCACCCAAAACACCCTGCTATGACACAGATGATGACACAGAAAGAAGAGGGTGGGAGGAAGAGGGAAATGTTATTCCAACAAAACCTAACCGAAAGTCCACTTACAAGATAAACTGGAAATAAACAGGCAGCCTGTTTTACAATCTCTGAATTTCAAACTGCAGTAAAGTAAGAATTGTTAGTTTTCTCTGCAGCATTAAGACTACAGAGCAAAGTGAGGCTTTATTTAAAAAACAAGTGACATTAGTGTAATTATTTCCTGACTTTATCTGTAGAGTTTACTAAACATTCACCTTAGCAAAGATCTCCACGCTTTATGTTTATACATACACTAGCTTTTAAATTAAATATTTCTCCTAAGAAATGGATAATACAGTAAATCTAGCTTAAGCATACATTCTTCCAATAATCTACTATTTTGGAAAACTTCACAAATTTCTTCATTTTTAGGTATTCTGTTTCTCACGCAGAAAGCACTTATTTTGCCCCAAGTTCTCATGCTTTTCATTTTCCACACCACATTTTAAGGATTTAAATCCTGAAATTACACATCTGATTTAAATCCATGCTGGTTAGGATGCACCAACCCCCTATTCCAAGACAAAGATCCATGTAACTTTATAAAGTAGAAGAGTTACAAGGGATTACATCCAAGAGGAAGGGGAAATTCCTAGATTATCTAGAAAGCAACACTGTACCAAGTTTTAAGGCTACCAAAGTTTTTTCCACTTGAGAACAGGCCATGGAAGCCCTTGGGAAGCTCTGCCCACGGGACCCCTGCAAGCAGGGAGGGAGGGTCCCTGGCACTTGCTGACAAGTGATTTTTTCTTCCTAATGTGACAACACACAAGATTACTGCAACATTTAAACCTAACATGGCAGCCTTCCTACCTTAAGGAAGGAGCAATTTAGATGAAAGGCAGGGAGTTTGCAACAGTTGATACTTTAGAAAGACTTTAAGATTTAAAAATATACTACTAGTAGGGAGCTGCAGGCCTGATGCCGTCTGAAGGCACGTTCAGGCTGCCCAGATCCCCCCCCTTCCAAAAATACCAGCACAGCAGCTTGGCACGGGTTTTGACTTGTAACTATCTCTAGAATAATAAATACCAGGCAGTCATCTAATATTAACTAATTTGCCTGGGAGGGCAGATGAAACAGGTCAGCACAATCGCCAGAAATTGCATCACGGTCCAGTTAAATCAAATTGGGAACTGCCCAAAAAAAAAAAAAAAAGAAAGAAAAAAAAATCAAGAATTTAAACAATTTTATACTCATCTTAAAAAAAAAAAAAAAGAAAAAAAAGAGGAGGAAAAAAAAGACTGATTACAAAATGGTGCACACCAAAACAGGAGATACCAGTGCTTCATAGACAGCACATCACTCAAAGCATGTCTCCCTAATAATGTTAATAATAATGGGATACAAGCGATGAAAGGGGCCTTTGCGGGAGTGCAAAAGGGAGGCTCCGGCTCTGTGCGGGATGTCAGGAGAAGTTGGCCACAGGAGAGGGATGTGGGGCCGTCGGGGAAGCAGCAGGAGATCCCCTTACCTCCTGCTGGAAATATCACGTTTGCTGGCAGAGATAAGGTTAAAGAGAAAGCATGGCGGGGGGGATATAAAAATAAAAAGTTGCAGGCGAGGAGGCAGCAGGAAATAGCGAGCTGCGAGGGGGGATATGGGGAGAAAAGTGGGGGAAAAAGGGGTCTGGCTCCAGGCAGGGCCTACACGCTGCGAGGGCTCATCCAAGGGAAGCTCTGCTAAAAATGGCTGCTTCGCTGCCGCTGCCCCTTCCTCCCGTCCCTCCTCCTCCTCCTCCCGGCGCGGCGCTCACCAGGCAGAAGAGGTTGGAGTGACAATCCTCCAGGCTGGCCCCGTTCGGCACCAGGCAGGAACTCATCCTCACAGCGGCGACGCGCGCGCCATTATCCCGCAGCCTCCGCCGAGAAAGAAAGACACAGACAGAGGGACGGACA